TATTATTAAATATATTAATTTATAAATTTACAGATTTTCATATACATATATATTTATATATGCGAACATATTACAGAGTAGATCATTACGCCATTTAAGCGCTGTTTCTCTCCCAATTGTGCTTTATATCTCTTTTTTGCGCATTTTATCTTATTTATTATAGACATATTCTTTTCCGTATAAATATAGGAAATCACAAGCATGTGCAAAGGCACACATGCGAGGCATTGCTCCAAAAGGAAATTACCAAATCGAGCGCCATTGCTCTGTAACTGTGGGGGGGGGGGGCTACCATGATGACTATAAATGTGGAGCTAGAGAATCGTTTCTAACTGCGAAGAGAGAGTCGCTCCTTTTCCTCGAGCTTGGCTGGCTAATTCTAGAATTAATGATCCAGTTTCTGACTTATGGGCGGGTCCGCCTCGTCCGCAGGACGGATTACTCATGCATTGCAATGCGGGACGAAGGGGTGGCATACAGTTTGATCCCGGCGTAAGACGCGTGCGCTCTGCGAATAGTCACGATCGGCGAGTGTGTTCGTCGACGAGTACGACGGGCGGAATCGTCGGCTGCTGTGGCGCTCGGGCGTGGTTTTTCACGTCGTCGCGGTACGCGCCGTTACCCGGCCGGGAGGGGGAGGAGACAGAAGGTGCACCTGGATCTCGAAGGGGTGTCCTTCTCCCCCATTCCCCCCCCGTTGCAGTCAGGCAGCGACTATCGACGAGACTAGAAGTATGCGCGGTGTGGTGCGTCGCCGGTCGCCGATCATCCTACAATCGCCGATCATCGTGTAATTGCCGACGAAACTGTCAGAATCGGCGTATCCGGCGATCAACAGGCACAGCGAATTAAATGGCACGTTGCGCCGCGGTGACGTCACCGTACCGTCATCTGGTGAGATCATCATCGAAGGCGTCGCCGTCGTCGTCGTCATCGTCGAATCGCATTGTGAGTGACGCTTTATTATATAATATAGTTGTGGGCAATGACACGCGTGCGGGGCGGAGGCTGCCGGGACGTTTAACTCGCGCGGAATCCAATTGGCGGACGGTATATGTTCCCTGCAATGCAGCGGATCGGCTGTCGGCGACAATGC